ATATTCCCATCCACGTGACACCATGTTTAACACCGTCAAAGATAAAAGACATTAAGGAAATATGAGATACGGACTATAAATGCCATTTTTGCCATGCATTAATTTTTATTTCTAAAAATCATCCAATATCCTTGTTATGTTTTAGAATAAATATAGATAAAGATAAAAACAAAAACTGTTTAAAATGTTATCAGATAAATATTTTAGAAATAGAGCTGATCTCATTCTTTAACACTGGCCAAATACACTCTTAAAAATAAAGGTGCTTCAAAAGGTTCTTCAAGCGATGCCATAGAAGAACCATTTTTGGTTCCACAAAGAGCCATTCAGTCAAAGGTTCTTTAAAGACCATCTCTTTCTTACCTTTTTATAATCTGGAGAACCTTCTTTCGCCCCCAAAGAAGCTTTTGTGAAACAGAAAGGTTCTTCAGATGTTAAAGGTTCTTTATGGAACCATTTAGACAAAAAGGTTCTTCTATGGCATCGTGAAGCACCTTTATTTTTAAGAGTGTAGTAGCCTATTTCAATTGTTGTAAACAATTCAAATCAAACTAAATGTATGCAGTTTTGCTGATAAGGTGAATATCTTTTAGCTATTTTGAGTGGAAACAGATAGGCCTTTTTATTGCAGTGTAAAATTGTCTCACTAACAAAGTATTTTAAGAAGGAAACGTATAAATCTTACCGTTTTCTTCAAGTTGTAGCCTTCAAATACAGAGGCACTTTTCACAGTGTTGCAGAGATGACTTCACACGACATCAACAGCTCTGTGCAGCTGCGGGTAACAGTAAGATATTATCATTGGACCTATTCAAACTGGATAATGGACAGAAGTAAGTGCGCATCATTGATCACTGTTCTCACTCAAAAACATTTTCTCATAACATGAGAATTATTGTGCACCTATAGCACTCCTCACTGTCAATAAAAGAGGAAAAGTGATCAAGCGCATTTACTACAAATATGTCTAAATTCATATCATTTTGGTTTAAGTTCTGCGTAATGACTTTCAGTCATTTCAGTCCTTATGAGAGTGGAATATTTAATGTAAATGTATATATCGGCATTAAAACAGCTTAAAATAATTGTTTTCGCTTAATTAATTTTCTCACCCAAGGAAAAAGAGTGCGTACACATGTGCGCAAATTTTCCCGTCAAGTTTGTTTTTGTAAATCCCACCTTTTTGCGCAGGAAGTGGCGTATCGGATTTTGTAAATGTAAATTGTGCTGTGCATTTATGAATTTTGTTTTGCAAATGTGTTATTTTTGAGGCCGATCTGGCTCCATATACGCCTCTTTCAGGGCTGTTTTTGTGTGCGTACCCAAAAGTTATAAATGAGACCCCAGGGTTGGCAGTTTTTCACAGCAAAACGGCCGATCTGGCTCCATATACGCCTCTTTCAGGGCTGTTTTTGTGCGTACCCAAAAGTTATAAATGAGACCCCAGGGTTGCCAGTTTTTCATAGCAAAACCGCTTAATTGCTACTCAAAACTAACCCAATCGCGTTTCTGGGGGTTCCACCGGTACAAATCGCTTCTGGGGTAAAATACACGTTTTTTGTGGCTGGGTTCCCCTGGTAAAATTCGCATTCCAGGGGCTACATACCACATTATTGGGGTAGCGTCAACCTGCGGCAAATGTGTTAACCCCCCCCCCCCCCCCCCCCCCCCCCCCCCCCCCCCCCCCCCACATGTCTACGTCACTATGTGGGAAGATTTGCATAACGCCGCCCAAATGTTTACCAAAGAAAGAAGGCGTAACTTTTATTCTCGCTGTAGTATTGTTGCCGCGACCGCCATGTCGTGAAGACGCTGTGTGCTTCGTTGTGAAAGCGAAACTACTTTGTTTGGTCTTCCAAAAGAGGACGGTAGCCTTCAAGATGCACCAAGAGCTTGTAACACTCCAAAGAGAAAGGAAAACTTGAAATCGCATCATATGACCCCTTTAAAAAGTAAAGGAGAACGGTTGGAAGTTGTACTTTTAAACTTTTAAGTACTGCTAATACAACTCATTGTGTGCTCCCTTACATTCAGAGAACATAGTGACATATTGTGATCCCTTCAATTGATTTTCTAAATGTTCTGTTTGTTCTTAAATTTACCATCATAAAACCTGCAGGAACCTTGTATATGTTATTTACTACATATTCATCATTTAAGTATTAATTATTGCCAATGAGACTAGCTCACAGTTTGTAATATAACATATTAAGCTAAATAATTTTCTTCTTTTTATATGTGCATCTATTATATACTGTATAGACTATATTAGGTACTTAAGGAGACATGCGCATCAGTTATACACAAATACATCCCATATAGAACGTCTGAGACATCAAAGACACGTGTTTCACAGTAAAAAAATTTATTGCTACTTGGCTGAAAAGTTAATTAAAAATACAGCTTTCTGCTCAAAACTAAGCATAGCAGCATCTGAAATGAAACAATGAGCCAGCACCCACTCTAAAAAGTACAGTCCTAGCTGACAGACAGCAAAAAGTGCTCGCATTTAGTCCTTTTACTAAATCAGTAAAACAACTCAAATGATCTCCTAAACTAAAAACAATTCGATAATTTAACACAATGAAAATATTCAGCAGTTTACTGCATGCTAAATTAGAAACTTAAAAATATAATATACATTATGCTTCCGATATTAAAACAATTTCTTATAAACAGAAAAGTTAGTATTTTATACAAAATCATATTATAATATATTCTATATATATATATATTTATATTCATTTATATAGGGCATGCTTCTCACATTAAATACGTGAATAATTAGTATCTTCAAAGATTGTACCTTGATGGGTGACAGTTTACCATAGAACCCTTAAATCCTAGATTACAATGAGCCAGCACCCACTCTAAAAAGTACAGTCCTAGCTGACAGACAGCAAAAAGTGCTCGCATTTAGTCCTTTTACTAAATCAGTAAAACAACTCAAATGATCTCCTAAACTAAAAACAATTCGATAATTTAACACAATGAAAATATTCAGCAGTTCACTGCATGCTAAATTAGAAACTTAAAAATATAATATACATTATGCTTCCGATATTAAAACAATTTCTTATAAACAGAAAAGTTAGTATTTTATACAAAATCATATTATAATATATTCTATATATATTTATATTTATATTCATTTATATAGGGCATGCTTCTCACATTAAATACGTGAATAATTAGTATCTTCAAAGATTGTACCTTGATGGGTGACAGTTTACCATAGAACCCTTAAATCCTAGATTCTGCACTGGAGGACCTATAAATCTGCATGAAACTATGAAGTACAAAAATAAACCTCAGCTTCTTGGCATTGAGAGGAAATATTAAAGCATCTCTTAAAAACAAAATGTACATAAATGATGACAAGATCAAGCTTTGGTCACGTGTCAGCAACAGGAACTTCGTCTCGATCCACGCCTGTCCGGAACTAACCGTGATTATGTGCAAAAATGTCAATGAATACGCCAGATTAAGATGCGTTTTTGCATTCAAAAGCAAGTTTCAACTCTGCCAGGGTAAAACCACAATCACACTGCGCAGATTTACAAAGACTTAAGACAAATGTTTCTGTGGTGGAGTCAGAACTTGGAAAAGCAGAAACATAATGAGTCTTTAAAGGTGATGTGTGTCATTTCTGCGCACTAGCACTACTAAATGGAAGTGCAAAAATGATCAGTTTTCAGTCAAGTTTCTTGAACACTTCCCTCATCTATCATTGGTCAGACAAACAGTTAGCCCCGCCCCTAAGCTTGCACCATTGGTTGAATCTGGTTGCCTTAAGCGCACACAGATGTTTTGATAAATCTAGAATGTTTGCACTTTTTACAGGAATGAACCTATGAATAGCTTGCATAAGCTGGGAGAGGAGGAAGTGTTTTAACTTGCTTTAAAAAAAAAAATCACACACATCACCTTTAACTTCTCAAGTTAACCTTTAAATTCTTTCCTTTTGTTCTGCGTAAGTGCTCACACAAGAGTTGCAAAGCCAGTTATAAAATCAGAGAAAGTTACCGAGCATTCAATAATGTGCAGAAGACGTAAAGGAAGCTTTGTCTAGCTTTTATCTGTTTTTGACTAGTGTTCAGTTTGAAACTAAACTTGATCGAGAACATTTTCTAGTGCAATGCCCAAACTAAGACACTGTGCTAACACACTGGCAAACAAACTAGCCTAATAACATAAAAAGACCCCCCCCCCCCCTGAAAATGTCCTATAATTATAAACTATCATTTAAAAAAATCTACTAGTGGGGATATTTGTAGAACTGTGCTTTGTGTTCTTCCTGTAAGCATATAATTAAAGGGATAGTTCACCCCAAAAAAATAATTTTTGTTACTTACTCGCATGTGATTCCAAACCTCTATGACTCACTTTCTTTTGTGGAACATAGAAGATATTTTGCGAAAATACTTTTTACTTTTATTCTTCGTCCATACAATTGAAGCCAATGGTAGCTAAAACAGTGACATAATGAGAATGTTGATTTTTGGTTCAACTGTTCCTTTAAGAATCACCATTCACGAATGAATGTAAACTTGATGGCTATTTGCATATAACATCAAGCAATACTGTATTTAGCCAACATTTTCAGGAACTCGAGTTTCACCTCAACATGTTTTGGCCAGGAGAGCACAGAGCACAAATGTTTAAGGGATCTAAAATACAACATTTTTCCACGTGGCAAAGTAACTACGGTAGTATAGTTGCCTAGGCTGTAGAAACAATAGACACTATCTCCACAACAGAGCACTGCACGTGACACCCACAGACATGCACAAATTTATGGATTTTTCCCAGTTCTATTCTTCAATTTTCAGATTAATATTGATCAATCTAATTAGACGCGTATAATTGTTGCATATATCATTTTTAAATATGATGCAGATAGACATCATGCTGTAGGTATATAGAAGGTCTGAGGTGCTCTTGAAGTGGTAATAAAGTGGCTGTATCAGTGAAGTTCTCTACCATTTCGGTTTCCTTTCAATGTTAAAGCACTGCGAGGGATGAAAGGCTCCTATAGCTAATAACAGACTTGGGACTACATCTTGCAAACAAAGCAAGCCGTCAAATGCTTGTACTCTGCCTCTTAGCACAGTATGAATCAGCATGTTGTGCCTCAATAACCACATCTCTCCATTCAACCAAACTTAAGAAATGACATTTTTCAGGGGTTATAAAAGAAAAAATACATAAGAGGCCACAAATCAAAGCCTAATGATGATTTTATATGCATTTCGACAAAATGCAATTCTTAAATAGGTCTATGTATATAGATTCTCTGAGCTATGTACAAAGTGCTTATACAGTGTAAAACCATTTTACTTTATAGGATTGTACAATAATACTTGATGCACTTAAGCATACACCTCTAAATGGTTAGGGATCAGTTTCTAGAAAATTGTACTTCACATTTTTGAGTGCAAAAAAGGGAATTGGATTATAAACACTAAAGAAAAGATTGAGGAAAACCTGCTTTAAGGCCATGACAGAAAAACCCCCGATGAGTCATGCAGGGTTGCTGCGTCCATGCCACTGGCTTCAGCTCTCAGTAGCATCCAAGGGACGACCGAAATACTCAAAATAACCTACCTTTCCTTCAAGTACCACTACTACGCATCTTTTGGCACAAGAGCTACAGTTTCAGGTCTGTAGGCAATTATAATTAACCCCACAAACATCTCTCTAGTGCTTGAAGACAAGTTAATGGCAGTAAAAGTTCAAATTCAAAACCTTCCTGGATGTTAAAGAAGGGGATTCAGATTAGTTAAATGGCGGCTTTTTCCTCATACATATAGCGAACACAAATCTGTATGGAAGTTTGGCACAAAGATCATTGCCATCTGACCATGGAGAACATTAAAAAAAACTAAAAGAAAAACACTCAAAATGTCCACTTATAAAGCATAGAATTCATCAAATGAATCTTGAGATGAAATGGCTTAAACATAATATCCGAGCATACAAACACACTTAAGCTCAATTTCAAGTTGATGACTTACAAATTCTGAGACTTCTATGAGATTCAGTTTCTATTTTGAAGTGCATTAGTGTCAATGGGAACTTGCTTCCTTTGTAAAGACTATGAATTATTTGAATCTAATGAATTATGAGAGTACACCTAATAAATTATAAACATAATTTAATACAACTGATGCCCTACAATTGGCAAAAGAAAAAAAAGGGCTTCAGATAACATCAGTAAATGCAATAACAATTAATAATGGGCTTTGCACTCGATTGTCCCTAATTTTAAATCCCCACTTAAATGTAATAATGAGTTGTGTAAATTTTTTTTATTTATATATATATATTAATTTCAGGGAAAACCCTGAAAAAAAACTGTGTTGTTTCCAATAAACACCACTAGATGTCTCCTCAAACCGTGAGCACAGTGTTTTACTGCACAGAATTCCCTGATACTGTGATTGTGGCAATGACAAACTCAAATGACCCAATATAGTCTCTTTCCTCAGGTCCCCTGATTCAAATAAAAAACAAACTCTGACCAGCCTGTTTCCTTATACGTACCATGCATGGCTAAAATAGAGCACACATACCCACACACTCGATGCACAATACATGATATCATATGCCTGGTACCTCTCACATAAAAACCTAAATGTCAGCTGTTCATTTTCTTCCTTGAATATGAGATGATGAAAAAATATCCCAACCTCACTCAGATCAACAGTAAAACCACACTACTACAAAGACCCAATGACATATTTACGGCCCAAGGCTCTATAGCATGGGCTCTGTCATGTTGTCATGGCAGACTCGAAACTTCAAGTACTCTAGACAACCCGAGACAGCTCAAGTTATGATTTCAGACAGGGTTGTGAGGTCTTTCTGCTCCCCAAATGACCTTGGCCATAAAGGTGTGACGATGCTTCCACTGAGTATTGGATGTAGTTTTTGTCTCCATCTCACTCTGACCTCCATCACTAGACTGATTCCCTCTCCAGGATTTGAATGTTATGTTGGGGTCGTTGTACTCTTCTATTGTGCAGAGGGCTCCAGAGACCCCCATGGCTTTGTCTGGGAGATCCCGTATGCATACAAGAGAGGGGATCAGGGAAGCTGGAGAATGCTCTGGTCTTTTTCAACAATACTTATTTCCACAACGACCACTCTTTTCCATGAAATGGAGCGGGATTATTCCAGCAGGTCAGATGGGGAAGAGATCCGTCTGAAATATTCCTCACAGACTTCAAAAGTGCAGATTACGGACTAGTCGCCACTATGGGAAGGTAGGAGAACAACACTGCACGTACACCAGAACAGTAAAGGCTCTCTGAACCTCAACCATCTTCAAGAGGCACTTTTCTCATCTTTTGGTCTCAGTTTAGCTGATAGTATCTCTCCACGAGAAGGCAAATGTGATCATTGAAGCCTACTTAAGCCTGTGACCTTTGATATAAAGGGCGAATGTCGAAATGAACTCACGCATGGTGATGTATGAGGTACTCCAGCTCCATGCTGTGGTTTTTGGTCAGGAATAGCCCATGTTTTTCCACAATCTGAGACCTCAATCTTCAAGATTTCATCGGTCCTGACATTTTCACCCATTTTCATCCTTCCTTCCTTGACTTGGATGTGGCTACACCACCACAGATCAGCCCAAGAATGCACATGCAGGGACCCACACGTGATGACGCTAAATAAGAACTGGATTATCTCGAAGGCAGGAAGAGCGTGCTAGCCTCTTTGATGTGGCACTATGATGCAGATATGCTCCAATGATGTGGTCCTCTTGCACCAACTATAGAGCTGTGTCATAGACGTCCTGTTGCAGGACGGTGGTGGGGTGGAGACTGGGGATGGTGGGCTGAGGATGGTCCCAGTTGGGGTCTCTCGCTGAGGGTAGCGTTGAAGGAGCCGGCGGCGGCCCGGGAACCACAGGGCTTTGACCTCTCATTTGCTCCCGAACATCCTGCTCCAGACTAGGCGGTATAATTAACTGGTCTTCCGGGTCTTGCTGGGCTGGTGCGGCAAAATATCCAGATTTCTTTTTTGGGGCCTCGAGTGCTACTTCAATGATATTGTGGCTATCCTCGGGAGCCACTACGGAGCCATTAGATAGCTTCTTCCCGAAGAGGCTGGAGGTTGAAGGAGACTTCTTCAGATCTGAGATCTCTCGGCCACATACAGCCAGCAGGCAGCCGTTGGTGGCAGAAACCACCACGCTGTTTTTCCGCCACATTTTGCTGTTGGGATAATCCGAGCCCCTCGAATCATGCCGGCAGTCCAGGTCCTTGGGACTTTCCGGTGGTCCGGAGCGCAGCTGAAAAGCGCAGCAGTGGATGTCCACTTCCACCTCTAGCTTGCTCCCGTTTGAGATGACACCTTCTAAAGGAGCCTCGTCATCGCTGTCAAGTCCATTGTCCGATTGGTTGCTTGAGAAGGTGGCGCTGGAAGGTTGCCGCTGGAATAGAGCCAGGTGCGCCCCTGGCCCCAGGCTCACCAGTGGCCCCATGTTACACAAGGTAGCAGTGGGATGCAAACTACAGCGGCGCTCCGGGCGAGCCGTTGGTCCCGAAGAGGGGTGCTCGTCCGAAGCTGTGGACCCAGCCTCGCTGCCCACTTCCGAAGCTGACATCTCGCTGTTAAACTCTGAGGCAATGCCACTGCTAGAAGACAGTGTGGCTGGGTCACCAGGGGACACGGAGATCGGTAAAGGTGTTGGGGCAGGTGGTCCTCGGGCTTCTGTGTTCGAGAGAGGAGGCTCGCACGTACAGCTGTCTTCTCCGATATGCAAAGCTACCACTACTGCTCCAACATTATCCCGGCACCCATAGCTCTGTGCCAGCGTGCAGAGCTTTTTGGCAGCAGCGCGGGGGTCTCTGACAGCTAGCACAGTGCTCACTGCCTCCTGGTAGGAAACCTTCTGGAAGAGTGCTTTGTTTCCTAGGATCAGGAACTCATCCTGGGAACACAGAGGCTCTGTGTGCACCCAGGGTTTGGGAAGCACCCAAGGAAATAGGTAGGAACAGCCAAGTAACCGTGAGCAGCATGTCACCCCACTCACCTTGTTATCCTACAGAACAAGAGTCAAATGATTAGAGACACAAATAAGCTGCTGCTTCTCATTCATGGCCATATTGACAACAATAAACAGCATGATGCATCAGCCAGTTAGCTTACAGACCTTAGTCAGGGTAGAGCCATATTGAATTTTTGACAGGAATGAACACAAGGCTAAGAGGTGAGGGATAGTAGTAAGGTGGATGGATTGCAATGGATTGCAATTATTATTCATGCTGATTATTCAGCTGACGAACCGTCTTTCCCCAAAAGGAGAGAAAACTGCATAAAACAGTTTTGAAAGTTGTCAGAATGACATGATCTAGGAACTTTATACAGCATGTGCCATTATTACGACTGTAAGTCTATCCCTCACAGCCTGGTTTTCAGCTGCGTCCAATTCCATATGGCGTCTAACCTGACTAAGGTCTATGGGATGAACTGAGAAGGAGTCAATACCTCAGTGATAATAGCTTTTGCCAGTTTGACACGCTCCATCTCCTCAGTGCTCTGTTCTAGGCTGAAAACCTTCGAGAGGGCAAGAGGTTGCCCATCACGACACAGTACAGCCTGGCAGGTGCCTACGTTGGCCACAGTGAGGCTAAAGTAGTGGCCAGGCTCGGAGGACTCGTGATGGATGTAACAGAGCAGAGCAGAGGCACCAAGCTTCTGGCCTGCCATGCCAAGTTTCCTGCAAAAATGCACGACAGCAATATGAGAAATGCATTTATTATTCATATAGCTAAGAATCTAAATCAAAAGCTCTGTCTGAAATATGGCGGGTTCAAGTCATATTGTTACAAGTTGAATGGCAAGTCATAATTTCGAGTGGGTTTTCTTGGATTCCAGAGCCCAGAGTTCAGGGCATCAGTGACAAAATATGGCGGATGCAATAATGTTTTTGTTTTTTGCTCTCAAACTAGCTAAGTTGCTTGTACGAACTATGATAGTACTGTACAACTATGATAGAATATATAATATCTTTAGGTTTACAGAACCTTCATGAATTGAAAAAAAACGCGGTTATTCTAACTTTAAAAAGTTATATACAATGATTTTTAAGAAGGTTCTTTTCAAGAATTTGAATTCTTAAGGTCTGTCTTAAGAACAAAGAAGTATTTTTGGGAATAAAACAGATTCGGGATTACTAAATATTAATTTCTTACGCAAGAAAACGGCAGTTAAGAAAATAATTTTATTCTTGCAAATATTTCGTGAATCCAGCCCTGATTCACCAAGAAAAAGGTCTTCTTTTTTTTTAGATTGACACACTATTGAGACTGGCTTGATGGAACTTCAGCACTGAATTTCCAATTCAGAAGTCCTGTCATGCATAAACTAGACCGATCATTGTTTACATTATCAATCATTGGTGTCTCATTTCAGAAAAGTAACCTTTACATTCCAAAGAAAGTAAGAAATCATAGTAATTAGGCCATTATCAAACAGTCAATTTTATAATGGCTACTTTTCTGAAATGAGACAACCTATACGTTGTATATGGCCAAACAAATGTGACCTAGCAAGTGTTATGTTGCAATGCTTAGTATTTAAAATAAGCCAATAAATTCAATAAACATCTTACCTTTGGGGATTTAAGACAAGTTGGAGGTTATTCTAACTTTAAAAAGTTATATACAATGATTTTTAAGAAGGTTCTTTTCAAGAATTTGAATTCTTAAGGTCTGTCTTAAGAACAAAGAAGTTACTTAAGAAGTATTTTTGGGAATAAAACAGATTCGGGATTACTAAATATTAATTTCTTACGCAAGAAAACGGCAGTTAAGAAAATAATTTTATTCTTGCAAATATTTCGTGAATCCAGCCCTGATTCACTCTGACCAAGAAAAAGGTCTTTTTTTTTTTAGATTAAGGCTTCCTTTAACCAAACCAAAGAACACTGACAAACACACTCATCGTTTCCAAATCTGTGACTCTCGTGTCTCCAGATTTTGCTCACTTGTTCCTTTGCCCACACATCTCAGCGTAACCATGATCCCACAGGGTGGACGTGCCCTGTGCGTCTCCTGCTGTCACGGCTGGCTTCTGGTCCAGCTTCAAAGTACTGATGTGACTGGAAGAGAGGAGGACACCGAGATAAAGACAAAAAACACACAAAGCAATTAACCACCCAGGTCTATGAGGGTATCAGAACATATTGATATTCATCAGCTGCATAATGTGCAATGTGTCCCCCGGAGGACTGCTGTTAGTAGCATCTCACCTGAAGAGGTTGAGCGTTTTATGCTCTAACATGAGGCTGCTGTTGCCGGTCAGATCCAGCTCTTGTAGGGTTGAAGGCAGAGAGTCCGGCAACAGGATTTCTGTCTGCTCATTACAGCTCACATCTACTAGCTACACAAAGAGCAGACAAAATACAACATTCTTCATGTGAAACACTGAATGTGGAGTGTAACAAACAACAGCACAATTTTATTGGATCTGGGGACAAAAACGATAAAAAATAACGTAAAAAAAACCCCAAACAAACAGTAAGTAAAGGAAAACTTTTTTCTTTTTTTTTAAGTTACAAATTATGTTGAAGAATGTAAAATACACTGTGAAATAAAGCGTAAAATAAAATGAAGTGTTTAACAAACAACAGCCAATTTTGTTGGATCTGGGGACAAAAACGATAACAATAATGTAAAAAAAACAAAAACAAACAGTAAGTAAAGTAAAAAAAAAAATTATAAAAAAAGTTTTCACTACCGGTGGAAAGTTTGGAATAACTGAGATTGAATGTTTTTTTTTTAAAGAAGTCTCTCATATTCACCATGGCTGCACTTATTTGATTAAAAAATATAGTGAAAACAGTAATATTGTGAAATATTATTACAATTTAAAAGAACTGTTTTCTATTTTAATATTTATAATTTATTCCTATGATGGCAAGGCTGAATTTTCAGCAGCCTACAGTCTTTCAGAAAGCATTCTAATATGTTGATTAGAATGAGAATTTAAACATTCATGTCAATGAACTTTGATGATAGCTACCAAACCTTTTCTTTTGTAACTTTAATTACTGCAGCTGCTATGCAGACATTAAACTATTACATTTTTAGATATTCATTTGTTATTGCCACCTGATGACTCTCTGGTTGACCCTTAAGATCCTTACAATATTTAGGGGCTTTGATATGTCCTGTCCTGAAGTCACAGACCTTGATCTCGGGGAGGCTGAGGACCTCTGGGAACACGCTTATATGGTTGGAGTGGGCGATGAGCGTGTGCAGTCTCTTGCAGCTGGACACGGTGGAGGGGATCGTTTTCAGCTTGTTCCCACTCAGATTCAGTTCCTCCAGGACCTCCAGTTTACCGAGTTTACTGAAAACATAACAAACAAAGGAATCCATGGTCATTTACACCAATATCAGAACACTGATCTTTCTTGAAACATTTGATCTAATTTGATTAATAGGCTCCTCCCATCAAGGTCCCGTACCTAGCAGGGAAGGACTGCAGTTGGTTATAAGCCATATGCAAGACCCGCAGGTTCTGATGCCCCACCAGTAGAGCAGCGCAGTTCTCATTCAGGTTGTTTCCTGTGAGATAGAGCTCCTGCAGGGTGCTGAGGCTCTCCTCCGATTGGCTGCTCGGCGGGATCGTCTCCAGCGCATTGGCAGACACATTCAAATACTTTAAACTAGTAGACGAGAAGAACAAGGGAAGACAGGTTGGTAAGTTTACAAACAGTACAAGTAATGTTGTTTAAATAGAAAAAAAAAGGAGGTTTATGAAGCAAAAATCATTGCGGACACAACCAAAGCCTCAGAGCTGCAGCACATCTTTCAGCATTAGAGATGCTTAATGGATGACAAGTAAATTAAGCCACAGGAAATGGAAGAGCTGCGGGCTCATATTACTGTGCCTCACTGAGCCGTATCCTCCTGTACACATCCATGAGAGGCTCTGGAGAAGCATGTCACTTCCTCTGTGCTGCTGCGGATCCAGTGTTGTGGAGTAACTAACTAACTACAAGGAGCAACTAACTAAACTACATTTCCCAGTAGCCTGACAGTTGTTCAGCTGTGATTATATATAAATTATATCATTAATATATCATTAAGATACTATTATAGTTTATATATATATATATATATATATATATAATGTTATTAGTTTATTTGGGAATACTTCACAATAAGGTTTCATTAGTTAACATTAGCATTAATTAATTAATTAATTTCAGCATTTACTAATGCATTATTAAAATCAAATATTGCATTTGTTGATATTATTTAATGGACCTGAGCTGACATGTATTAACAATAAACAATTGTATTTTTATTATCATTAACAAAGATTAATAAATACTGTAACGAAAGTACTGTTCATTGTTAGTTAAAGGGTTAGTTCACCCAAAAATGAAAATTAGCCCATAAATTACTCACCCTCAAGTCACCCTAGGTGTATATGACTTTCTTCTTTCAGATGAATCCAGTCGGAGTTAGGGCTGCACGATAAATCGAAATGGAATGGAGATCGCGATTCGACAGAAGCTGTGATTGTCATGCGTATCTTTCAGTGAAGCACGGTTCTGTGATCAGCAGTAAATCTCCATTCAAAGGCCAGAGGGCGCTCTCACGCTGAAACTCCAAATACGCCTCGCAGAAGAAACCCAAAAAATGCCTAAAGCTGCAGCTGAATAAACAGAAGATTCAACTGCTTTCATTAATTCAACGTGACTAATAAACACACGACTACGGCAATATATAGTTTATCTGAATTCTTATTATTATAATTTTCATTAAAATAAAGTATATTCATAATGCAATGCCTTTATCACTGCTTAAATACTATGAAATATGTTGCGTGCCTTATTCTGTGTAAGAAGCCATATCATCTCACAGAAGGATTTTTTTCAAACAAGTTTGGAGTAAAAATATGTTATTAAATGTGGTATTTTCACATGCTTTCAGATGGAGCAGCATTTACTTCACAGAGCCGCAGTTCACTGAGAAGCGATGCAAACAGCTGTCATTATCGCCAACGATTTCTTCGATTTCAGAATCGCGCAAAAAAAAATCGCAGACGTAACTTGTCAGTGAACTACGGCTCTGTGTAGTAAATTCTGCTCCATCTGAAAGCACGTGATGATTTCCTGCTGATTACAGAACCGGCATTACTATCAAAATGCGCATTACAATCGCATTCGATTAATCGTGCAGCCCTAGTCGGAGTTATATTAAAAATTGTCTTTGATCTTTCAAGCTGTTTAATGCCACTCAGCGAGTGTTGCATGCATCAGTCCAAAAGCAGTCAAATAAAATGCGCCCATCCATTTAAAAAAAAAAAAAGTGTCTCACACGGCTCCGTGGGGTGAACAAAGGCCTTCTGTAGTGAATCGATGCGTTTTTGTAAGAAAAATATCCATATTCAATGTAATAATCACTTTAATGTAGCTTGCGCTCACTGTTGTAAAGGGAAGCAGCTCCGGGCGGATGATATACTGTATAAGGTCAGCTTTGCGCATGCGGCGCTCAGAAGTGACGAACGCAGAAGTGCAGCGGAGAGATCAAAACAAAACAACGGTCACTAATTAGAAGTACAAAACGAGGATTTGTAAAGAAGAATGTCGAAGGATTTCAATATAAGCCAAGAGGAGACTTGTTTTCCTTTGCTAAAGTAAGGAAACTTTGCTTCCTTTGCTCCTGTTAACAAACGTTGGTTTTCACGAGATTTTTCTTACAAAAACGCATCGATTCGCTACAGAAGGCCTTTGTTCACCCCCCGGAGCAGTGTGAGACACTTTTTTTAATGGATGGGCGATTTTTATTTAACTTCTTTTGGACTGATGCATGCAACACCCGCTGAGTGGCATTAAACAGCTTGAAAGATCAAAGACCATTTTTAATATAACTCTGACTGGATTCGTCTGAAAGAAGAAAGTCATATACACCTAGGATGACTTGAGGGTGAGTAATTTGTGGGCTAATTTTCATTTTTGGGTGAACTAACCCTTTAATGCATTAACCAATATTAATTAATAGAACCTTATTGTAAAGTTTTACTGTTAGCTTTTTTTATCATTTTTATATCTTTGTATTTTATAATAAGTTAACTAAATTAAAATGAGAACTGTTGCTCTGGCAACTAGCGGAAATAAAATAACCTTTCACTATTTATATTCTAGTTTAGTTTAGTTAATGTTTATTTTATTTCAAGTAAAAAATTTTCTGGTTTTAGTTTATTATAATAACCCTGTTGTTTTTTTTGTATTTAGTGTAAATTTAAGTGTAAATCTTTCACTTTAATAAAGATTCATCCATTTCGTTATATATATCAATATGACTATTAAAAATAAATAAATAAATAATAATAGTACTGTAAATAATACTGTAATAGTACTGTAATACTGTAAATAATAATAAATGTAATATAATAATATATAAAAACTGCAAATAGTAATTATTATTACTAAATTAAAATATCAAAAAAAATATTTTATTTCAAGTAAAAAATTTTCTGGTTTTAGTTTATTATAATAACCCTGTTGTTTTTTTTGTATTTAGTGTAAATTTAAGTGTAAATCTTTCACTTTAATAAAGATTCATCCATTTCGTTTTTTGAGTCTACCCTGAATAAATGATAAATGACATAATCTGATATCTAATTAAAAATACTTTGCACAATTAAATAACTTAAATGTGGTTGGAAACTTTTCTTAGTAGCTTTACTTTAGTTTAACTACTTTAAATCTTGAGTAGCTCTGAGTATGTATCTGTTGTATCGTAGCGTTTTTTTATTTCCAAAGAGCAGTTTGCTAAGTTCCTGTAAAAGACCAGGATGTCTGATGAAGAACTCAAGCAGCAGGACTAAAGGTCCAGAGCAGAGAGAGATGCGGCAGACACAGAGGAAAAACACAAGGAAAATGGAGAGAGAAAGAGAAAACAGAAAGCACAGCCCGGAGAGTAAGATGAACAGAGAGAGGACAGAAGGAGGGAGTGACCTACTTTAAGGCTTTGTAGAAGAAGCTCTCTGGTAGTTCCTGCAACGTGTTGTGCTGCAGGTCGAGTGTTTCCAGTGGGATGTGGTCGAGCAGGTCAGCCAGTCTCTCCAGTCTGTTGTTACCAGCCAGCAGTTTACGCAGACTCAGACTGCTAAGAAATCTGAAAGAAGGCGGGATAGAGAAAGAAACAGACTTCAAAAGAAAAAGCACTGTTTTTGGTTTCATGCTTAAGACATAGTTTTAAAGTTTTAAATGAGGGAAGAAACTCAAAAGCAAACAAACCATCCATGCCTAGACACCTTTACAGGGATCATTCATCAAATAATGAAAATCCTAGTATTATTTACTCATCCTCATGTCAATCAAAACCCATTTACTGTTATTATAGGTTTTGAGGGGGGGGGGGAACTCTGTGATTTACAATTGTGATTTCAAATGCAATTTTTAATTTTGATGAAAAAATTTTGTGATATATATATATATATATATATAATATATATATATATATATATATATCAATATGACTATTAAAAATAAATAAATAAATAATAATAGTACTGTAAATAATACTGTAATAGTACTGTAATACTGTAAATAATAATAAATGTAATATAATAATATATAAAAACTGCAAATAGTAATTATTATTACTAAATTAAAATATCAAAAAAAATAATTTAAGCTGCAACAGGATTTTCAGTAAATAATAATAATAATTTAAAAAATTTCACTGCAAAATAAAAAGAGCATTTAAGAAAAATAATAAAATGTAATTTTACAGTGCAATTGTAAAATTACAATATTACTATTTATCGCTGCAACTGAAGATTTTATTGAGTAAATAAGTTTTCATTTTCATTACTATTTTAATGCTTTACTGTCAAATAAAAATGAGTATTTAAGAAAAATTATTGAATGATATAATTACATCACACTGAAACAAGCGATGCATATATTTATTTATTAAATCCCACTAAGCCATATCACAATTTCAGTTTTATTTTGATTAATCATGCAGCCCTAATATACACACAACCCAATTTCTAGCCTTCTGAAGCCAAACAATAGTTTTGTGTGAGGAAAAGACACACATTTAAGTGGCATTTCACTCAAATATGATTTAAAATATTATTTACACCTTTTTATTTATATAATAAAATATTATTGAATATAATCTAAAATATTATTTAAACCGGAATAATAAAAAAAATAGCATTAGTCATTGATTCTTGTATTTGTTGTAACCAACTATGCTATGAAGAATGGCATGTGAGAGCGGCAAGTGAAGATTTTCAGTGAATAACATTTCCGTTTTCATGTTTTTTTTGTTTTTTTTTTACAGACGTGGTCAATAATGTAGCTGCATGAAGACTCTTCAAAAAAATTTCTTCTCATGGAAAATATAACAGCATTATGGGTTTGGAACGACATGAGGTTGACTAAATAAAGACAGACTGAATTCTCATTTTTGGCGAACCATTCCTTTAAAACACCAACACAGCATTTTCATGCGAGGCAAAGAGTGCAGCACTCACAGTCTCAAATGGGACACAAACTTCAAGCCGCATATTATCTAATTTGTGCACGGCTTTTAGCTCTTTCAGATGCAAATGACTGAATGTTAATGTGGAATTAGCTGGAAATGGTGCTTTCATCTGCTTGGCGTTTACATTTACTTTGCTTTGAGACAGCAGAGTGGCCTCATCAAGAGCCTGCTGATGAACGCCGGCCCGTTTCTATTCAGATCCACCGTCTGGCCAGACAGTCACTTTAACCCACATCATTCAAATCAAATGGGCAATTTTTGTTGAATAAATAAGTACAAAATGCTGACATTAAGATTCTGGAATGGGAATCAGGAGGAGAGTTTCTTTTTAGAAACTGAGGAAGATGCAAAAGCAGTCTAAACACACACACACACACACACACACACACACACACGCACCTGGCCGGGAGCTCAGACAGCAGATTATGGGAGATGTCCAGCACCTCAATCTTCCTGCTGTCACACACCCAGTCTGGCAGGTATTCCAGGAGATTCCTGCAGGAGGGATGGGAATTAACTCCAGGCTAATTACATCAGAGCATTAGCATTGTACAGGAGTGCGCAGGGTAAAGGACATGACTGGAGCGAGCTGAGCCTCTTGTAAATGAGCTGATCAACATTTGGTCACATTTGCATTACAATGTGCATGTTAAGTACACTACTAAGTACTAGGGCTGTCAAAAAAAAATTCGAATTTAGAATATTCGTTGAATTTCAAATATAAATCCACATTAGAATGCAAAAACGCTGCATTTGAATTTTAGGTGTGTGTTAAGGAGGCAACGATGTAAGTGTCGTTGCATTATAATGTTTTAGATGCGGCGCTGCTGCGTTGTTCATTAAAAATATTGAAAAAGAGAACATCAGTGCGGAGAAGATGGTGTTTACGTCAAAACTCAAACCAAGCCGTTCACACAGAACACATATTTCGCACATTTTCTAGAGGGACATCTATCACTGTTGCACTCGCGTCTCGCACAAAGGAGACGCATGTTTAGAAAGCCATGTAAAATTAATGCAAGTTCAACTTTGAAAAAAACATATATCGAGACTTTATGGCAGGTTTCCCCCCCATCCCATTGCATCTCATGTTTTTAAATGAAAAATGTACTCTGTGTGATTGGCTTTCCGCCCATTGTATTAAACTATGCATACATGATGCATATGCATGTTTTGTTTAAAGTTGTTTAAGCAACTTAATTAATTATAATTGTTTTATAAACATTATTTTATACAACTAACTGAAATTATTCATTTTAAATTCGAATATAATTAGAATTGTGATCATATTTAAGTACAAAATTCGAATTTAGTTTTTCAGCCATTTTGACAGCCCTACTAAGTACAGAGCAGTGTTATTTTAGTATTATTTATATCCTTTTACAGTATTTATTAATATTTTAAATTAGCTTTTATTTTTATATTTTCAGTTTTCATAAGTATTAGTCATTTTGTAATGCACTTCTGTCATTTTTAACTGAACTTTATTTTAACTTTAGTTACAGTAAAGTTTTTAATCGAATATTTATATTTTGTTTTATTTCAGCTGAATTTAACAAAGTTTATCTTTAATTATTATTAGATAATAAATAGCATTAGTTAAAAAAGATAAATAAAAATACTTTGTTTATTTAAAGGTAACAACACTAGTAGAGAGACGTACTACTAAACAACATGTAAACGAATAATATGCAATTCATTTTTATAGTGTAGATATTTGTGATTGCTCATTATTATTACTAGTGCAGATGCACATTTTTTTATTTTCACATTTCACTAATTTTGTTGTGCTTTTGTTATTATTTTTTTTATTTGATCTAAATTTGTTTTAGCTTTACTAATTTAAGTTTATTAATTTATTATTTTATTTGTATTAGTTTATTTGTATTATTTTTCTCTGTTATATGTTAAGTTTTTTATGTTACATTTTTTAAATTTTATTTCAGCTGTATTTCAATTAACAAAAAGTTAATATTTAGCTGATAAAAGATAATAAAAATAGTTTGTTAAAAAAGTTAGTTTTAGTTAACGATAACACTGGTACAGAGTTGTATTACTAAATTACTAATGTAATTAGTTTACAGAGATATTGGCAAATTACACATTATTATTATTTGGTACTATTGCTAATATTGTAAAAATGTTGTGATTATTGATTATTAATAACTTTTATTAACTAGCTGCAACCACAACCAGCAAAAATACTTTTTTGGTCACTTATAAAATGGTCACTGGTCCAAACTTGTGCATTAAACATCATATGTGACCCTGGACCACAAAACCATAAGTCATAAGGGTCAATTTTTCGAAATTGAGATTTATACATCATCCACAAGCTGAATCAATAAGCTTTCCATTGATGTATGGCTTGTTATGATAGGACAATATTTGGCTGAGATACAACTATTTGACAATCTGGAATCTGAGGGTGCAAAAAAAATCTAAATATTGAGAAAATCGCCTTTAAAGTTGTCCAAATGAAGTTCTTAGCGATGCATATTACTAATCAAAAATTAAGTTTTAATATATTTACAGTAGGAAATTTACAAAATATCTTCATGGAACATGATCTTTACTTAATATCCTAATGATTTTTGCCATAAAAGAAAAATCAATAATTTTGACCCATACAATGTATTTTTGGCTATTGCTAAAAACATACCCAAGTGACTTCAGACTGCTTTTGTGCTCCAGGGTCACATATATGCTTCGACTGACTTTGATTTTAGTGCTTTGTGCAGCATTTTTGCTTTTAGTTTGGACAGAAAAAACTATTTGCTGCTAGAAATGTTTGTTTCACCAATGATTAGGACACCGAATGAATGTCAGTTACCTTGATAGGTCCATATGTGTGAGCTGGCTGGGAACAGGGTAGATGTTCACCGTGGTCAGACCTATGAAAGATCAAATAGTGATTACACAGGGTGAGGCCTGTGGATGGAATCCTCTGGTTCCTAAACGATGCTGTGGAGGTCTGTACTCACGGTTGTCACTGGCGTGGAGTGTGCGCAGGGTGAAGCCGCTGAGGGTCAGGGCTCCCAGCTGGTTCCTCTGACACTGCAGGGTCTCCAGACTGCAGGCCGAGCTCAGGTCCAGAGACGTCAGCTGGTTGTCTCGCAGGTCCAGCTGGGTGAGATGTTTTACAGGCTCCAGAATTTCGCTTTTAACACTGCGGAGGCCATTTAACCTGCACACAAAAACACAGGCCTAATGTCAGCTGCAGATATACTGAAGAGCAACCCAAGTGAAGAATCCAAACGGCAAAAATAATGTTGGTGGACAAAGAAATGAATAAAAATGATACACACAGAAAATGATAGAGATGGAAGAGTGGAGCTCCGAGACACTACGCATTGAGTGTTTGTTATCTTTTTATGTAATTACAGCTATTATATTAAGTTCAGAAAATAAGTGTACTGTAGATTTTGCTTGTGCAAAAAACAACAACAACACAATGTTACATTGCTGTTTTTTTTAAATATTGAATTATATTAAATCAATATTATTTAATATTGTTATAATCTAATTATAATAGATTTATATAATAGATTTCATTTATAATAATAGCAAACATAAATAGATATAAAAATGTTAAGCATATAATAATAAAAATGAAGCAGTGCGACTGTTTTCAACAACAACAATAATAATAATAATAATGTTTATTGAGCAGCAAATCAGCATATTAGCATGATTTCTGAAGGATCATGTGACACTGAAGATAAAAATAGTAATAATGCAAAATATTATTACAAATTAAAATAGCTGTTTTCTATGTGAATATATTGTAAAATATAATTTATTTCTGTGATCCAAAGTTGAATTTTCAGCATAATTACTCCAGTCTTCAGTGTCACATGATCCTTCAGAAATCATTTTAATATGCTGATTTGATGCAAAAGAAACATTTCTGATTATTATCAATGTTGAAAACAGTTGTGCTGCTTAATATTTTTGTGGAAAGTGTGATATATCTATATATTGTGTGTGTGTGTGTGTGTGTGTGTGTGTGTGTGTGTGTGTGTATATATATCTATATCTATAGATAGATAGATAGATAGATAGATAGATAGATAGATAGATAGATAGATAGATATATTCAGGATTCCTTGATGAATAGAAAGTTACAAAAACAGCATTAGTTGAAACAGAATTATTTTGTAACATTCTAAATTTTTTTACTGTCACTTTTGATCACTTTAATGCATCCTTGCTGAATAAAAGTATTAATTTCTTCAAATAAAATACTACTACTACTACTACTACTACTAATAATAATAATTATAATAAAAACTAGTAGGAAAACTAAGTCTCTGATCCAAACTGTACATTCTGCTTTGTTTTCTGAGTTATGTCTGTGGACGATCAGTATCTATAAACATATTCTGCTATTTTGTGTACAAAGTAAGTGGAGATAGTCATATCATTTTTGAAATTATTTTTTACATCAATCTATTATTGTAGTATGATCTATTTCACTGCCCATAGAAAACTGTGGCTGGATGCTATACATGTCAGACAGATGGTCTAAAATTGACATTTTAGGCCAGAATACTGTGCAAAAAAATCACCAGATTTGAGTGCTGTAGTTTGGCTGCGTGTGACAGAGCGACCAGACAGAGCTGTGCTGCCGTCACCTCTGTGATTTACTGATAGCTGATCTTATTACATTACTATTGCATATTGATCCTGCATTATGCATAAAGTCTGCGCTAAGAGTAATAACACACAGACAGGTGACAGACAGAAGAGAGAGAGGAGGAACAGAAGGAGACGGAGGCGAGTAAAACTGACAGCAGGACGCACAGAGATAGACAGATATGGAGAGAGGGAAAGGGGAAGATGTTTCTAAAGGCTCACCGTAAATCAATACTCTTAATGTGAGTCATTCGCAGCAGGCTGCACAGATCCAGAGTGTCCACCCGGTTCCCCGCCATCGCCAGCTTGTCCAGGGCACAGAGGTGCTCCACCACGCCGGGGACGTGAGGGAAATCATTGAAGGAGAGTCCCAAGCTGCAGAGCTGCGCGAGGCTGCCCAGCTCCTCCGGAAGAGAATCCAAGCGATTCCCATCCAAACACAGCGTCTGTAAGCTGAACATAACAGTCTATGAATGCACAGCCAAACATACTCACTTTAAAATATGCAAAATGATAAAGTGGTTACTATGATATTAAAGATGCTATTTTTTACATTTTTGTCAATATTGTTAATATTTATAGGGATGGGTATTTTCATTCAAATTAACAGATTTGAAATTCTTTTATGACATAAAAATCACATTACAATATCATTTTTTGTTTTGTTTTATACTTGTTCCAGAACTTATGTCCACAAACTTTTGGCCATATAGCATATCTACAATGTTACGGTTACGGTTATGCTGAAGAACTATATTTCTTATATGAACCATTTTTTATTGACTGCCAAATGCATAAATATTATTATTAATAAATGCAATCATTTATTGAAGACTGGTGTCTTTTTTTGTCATATCTCTCTTGCCATTTTGCATCATGCCTAAAAAAAAAAAAAACACTTAACCAGAATCCATGGCCTCACAGAATGTTGCTTTAATAAATTAATCCTCATCATATCATATCATACCATATTATGGTTAATTTATGAAACAATTATATTTAATAGAATTTGTGAGTTTATATATTATAAACATACTATAATATATATTACAATGGTTAATTTATTAAAGCAACATTTTATGAGATCAAGCATTCTATAATAATATAATATAATATAATGGTTAATTTATTAAACAATTATATTTAATATAACGTGCGAGTTTATATATTATATTATAAACATTCTATAATATATATTATAATGGTTAATTTATTAAAGCAATATTTTATCAAGCACTCTATAATAATATAATATAACATATAATATAATATAATAAATTACTATAATGGTTAATTTATTAACCAATTATATTTAATTTATAATTTTAGAGGTCATGCATTCTGTATTATATGATATTATATTATATTATATAACATACTATAATATATATATTATAATGGTTAATTTACATGCCTCCGTCATGTTCAGAGCACCTCATATAAGCCGAACTGAGAGCAGTAAAACTAGGCTGATTTTTATGCTTGATTTAATCTGCTAGCGTAGTATGCACAGCTGAACTTCATGCATTTCACTGGCTCATTTAGGGGGGAAAAAAGAAGTTCGTTTGACAGGCTCTTTGGTAGCGCACTTGAATATAGCTGACTGTAATCGCAGGAGCAGCTGCGCTATAAAGCACTGAATATTTTAAACACAATCATGCAAATCAAAGGATTATTTAGATTATAACCCATAATCGCTCTCATTATTTTGTGCGATGTTTTTCAAATGACCTTTTTGCACTTCATGCTGATTAGAAAAAGAGAGAGGTCACTTTGGCAGGAACAAAAAGGAGCAGTGACTTGAAATATGAGTTCAACTAAACAAGCACATATTTTCTGTTTTAGATCAGCTACAGCAACAAACAAACAACAGTATATTATTATCCGGTTAAAGTCTGGCCAAAAGAGCAGCCGCAGACGGTGTGTTGTGCACAGTAAGGTGGTGTGATGTGTGCTGACCTCTGGAGGTTTTCGAGGCGGGACGGGACAGCACTGAGGCCGTTGCAGGACAGATAGAGCTCCGTCAGTGTCTGGATCTCACACAGCGACTCTGGGAAGACGCCCAGCCCATTGTGAGATAGATTTAAGCTCCTCAGCTGGGCAAATCTGTGGAAATATGCAGTACTCATGCTTAGAGGTCGACTGATGTATCGGTTTTGCCGATTAATCGGCACCGATAGTTTTTTGCTGGAACTATCGGTTATCAGCAAAAATCCATGCCGATAGTTTTCCGGGTTGCGTCCATCGCTGGAATGGCTGAGAAGGGTCTGCTGTCATTATACAGTACGAGAACGGCCTCTAGTGGTTGAAATCACTGACAGCACGTACTATTTGTTTAGACACGTGATACTGCATGCTGAACAGAGCGAGAAACTTCAGACGCGGATTTAAATGCAGCCGACAGAAAATCCTGCCGCGCCACATAGCGCCATTCACATAGATTTCCATTAAATTACATTATATTTGTCCCGAATTGTTGTTAATGCTTCATTTATAGAGCTATAATATAGATCTCGCTTTATCTTTCATCTATGCCTCATTGTTCGTTCATTCTTGAAGTAAACTTGTGTCCGTTTGGTGATTAAATAAACTGTTTTAGACCGCTGCTCGTTGAACTCGACGCGTCCGGAGTGTGTGTGATACCGGTGAGTTCTCCTAGACTCAACGCTGCGCTTTTATTTTGAGTAGATAATCATCAAGTGTTCAAGAATAGAAGAAGTTAAAGTGTGAGAGTATCCATACAATATCCATATGTATATAAGTTTAATGCTATGGCCTTTGTGTATATATTTAAAGATGTGCATCTTTAAGCATGAATGTTGAAATGAAATGGTAACACTTTAAAATAAGAGTCCATTTGTAGCATTAAGATTAATGAAAGCTGTGTAATGAAAGTAGTGTTCCTTGTTAGAGTGTGTTAATTTCAAAATGTTTATTATTATTATTACTACTACTAGTATGGTTCAGTACTGTTTTTTTAATAAAGCATTATTTTAGTTTTTGTTCAGTATCCATTTTAAAATCTATCGGTTAATTAATCGGTATCGGCCAGTGTGGTCCAACCTAGCTATCGGTATCGGCAAAATCCACTATCGGTCGACCTCTACACATGCTTATTTCCTGATGATAGGACTCTATCATGAGACACGAGAAACACTTATGCATAATGGATTTACATCATATGCATTTATTAGGCAAGCAAACGTTAGGCAGAAGAAGCCTGACAAACTGTTTCTCTACATACAGTATATAAGACCAGCAATTATGAAAAATCACCAAACAGCCAACACACAAACATACCGGATCTCAATCAGTCAATCCTTCTGTTTCTGATTTTAATAAATACTTATATTAATAACTGATTTGCTAATCACAATTTATTTATTACAACTTTTACTGTATTAAATAAAATAATCTTATTGCAATAAATGTAGAATTTTAGCATAAAACTATGGTGAATTTCTGTAAAGAACTGTCCTGGGGACAAATTAATTTTGAGTTTTGATCCAAATGTAGACAATATCTGCTGGGAGACCAATGCAGTACTCATCTTTATTATCCCATGGGGATAATACATTTTCTTTCAGTAAATTTTGCAGGTTTGACAATCGACTAAAGGACAAGAAAAACATCAAGCACATTCTATAAATATTAAAAATAAATAATTAAGTAACGTGCCATATAACATTTATCTTTATTGCATATTCAAGTCCTAAAATTCCATATACGTGCACTGATGATGTGGTTGGGAGGAAAGGCACTGACACAGCCGTGGAGGTGGCAGCATATGCTGAGATCACGGCTCACACACACACACACACCACCACCACCAGCCCACGCATCCTGCACCGCCCACCACACACAGTTACTAAATATATGACACAGCTGAGACAAACAGAGAGAGAGAGAGTGAGGGAGGGAGGGAGAAAAGACCAGAAAGGAGAGGCGTAAAGGAGCAAAGCTTTCTGAACATTTTCTCAAGTAGTAACATGACAGAGAAGCTTCTTTCATTAGACAAAAATGTATGGGTTATATTTCACCCCGCAAATCAACACAAATAAACTATGATGCTAAATCTGGAAATAATGGCAATATCTGGAAATGGAATTTTTACAAATGTGCAAATTTGAAATGTAAAAGAAAATAAATAAATAAATATGTAAATCCTGTTTTTAAATCCTATTTGCAAAAAAAAAAGGGGGGGGGGAGAATTAATAATTACATAGTATTATCATATTTATTAATATTTTTAGTTTTATTTTTATATTTTTGGTTCTCTTTCTTTTCAGTTTTATTAGTTTTTGTTTTTTTAAATATTCATTTTGCTTTATTTTTATTTCAACTAAGTTGTTAAGGCAACATTTCTAGATTTTTTACAAATTTAAAATTTTGTAATATATATAATGTTGATTGGCTGCTGCTTTTTTTGCAAGGTTAATATATCTATCTATCTATCTATCTATCTATCTATCTATCTATCTATCTATCTATCTATCTATCAATGGAATATTGCAGTGAAGTGTTATTTTAGTACCACTGATTTCCTATTTTAGTTTATATATATATATATATATATAATTAGATTTTACTTTTAATATTTTCACTTTAATTTTAAAGTTTCAACTATTTTGTTGTTTGACTTTTTTTTTTTTAATGTCTAAATAGTTTTAGTTTTAGTTTTAGTTGCTTTAGTACTTCAAGATAAATGAAAAATGTATTTCACAATTTCCATTTCATAAACTACCCAGTTTATTCTCACAGTCAATTGAAATGCAAAAATATATCATTTAAATGGTCAGTTACATCATTCTGTACCACTGTATTTACATATAATTGTTTTAACTATTGTACTGATTTCAATTAATTTTTATAAAAAAAAACAGTATGGTTCATTATAGTAGAGGGGGGGGGGGCTTATTGATTTTAAAAAATTAGGGACAATTTAGGCTTCTTATACATTTTTTCTCTTGATTTCAGGGTGAAACATGACCTGGACATTTCTTTTGCATAGAAAAATACAAATGGCCTGTTTATTACTGCTGTGTCCTCATATAACAATAACCGTACTGATTTAAATACCACTAATCATAGTAAACGTGTGATAGCATCACCCCTCTGTAAGTTCCCATTTAATGATGCTCTTATTTCTTGTGTTTGCACAGAAGTGGCTGTCATTGTCATAGTGCATGCACAGAATAAATAGCTCTTCTACCATTTAATATGAGACCACATCCCAGCGGAAACAACAGCCTGAATATACGCACACGTTTGTGATTATGTAAAGAGCATTCAAGCAAAGGTTTTTCTAAAGCACACCTACCGTAGCAGGAAAACAGAAATGATTGCTCTGTTCTCCTGCTATTCTGTCCACTATCTAAATACAGCAGACAGACCATCACGAAACCTCACTGAACAGTAAGATGCTCTAATAAGCATAACAGCTGCATTTAAAGCTGAATTCACCGGTTGAAGTTGATGAGTCCTCCAGGGCCGTCCAGACTCATGAAGTTGTGCCGTAGGTTGAGGTGTGTGACGTCCTGGCAGTAGAAGAGATACTCAGGCACTTCTTCCAGACTGTAGCAGGATAAATCCACCAGACTGATAGTCTGAGACACCACCTACAAAACACACAGCTCATCAACATCCCGCTCTTTACACTTCCATATGATGCTATACGGCTAATAACAATCTTCAATGCAACATCAGATCAGAGTACTGCAAGGCCATGGCTTGAATGGTTTATTGCTTGAATGAAATGATGGAACAATGGTAAAAGATAACCAATGTTATGCAAACATGTATTTATTTAGCTAGTTAGCTAAATAAATCGGTTCAATAAAGCAATAAGCCCCAAGAAGCCGTGGTTAACAGAGAATTTATTATCGGTTATATATTCACTGTAAACCACGGCTTCACAGGGCTTATTGCTTTTAGAAAACAGTTATTCCATATACGTAGTAAGGTTTCACAAATAAAGTGTAATGATGTTAATAAAAACAGCATTCTTCCACCAAACAATGTAGTTCCTAATAAACATTTGTGGTTCCAACAGAGTGGTTGCAGAGCAACACAAAGAAGTAAACAAAGGTGTATGTTTGTAGAGCAATTTACAACAGCTTCGAATGCGGCTCAGCCAATCAGAATCAAGGACCGGAACTATCCGTTTTATAAGAAGTTTTTCTGACCGTTATTTCATGTCAGGTTTTACAGGGTTAAAGGCAGGGTAAGTGATTTCTGGTAGCCAATGTTGATATTTGAAATCACCAAAACAAACACGCCCCTACCCCAAAAGGGTATCGCCCCTATTTTGATAGCTCCGCTATGTAGAGTTGCTTTATTGCTGAATTCGTTTCATAATTGAGCTGAATTCCAACACTATTGACTTTTTATAGTTGAGTTAAAGGCAGGGTAAGTGATTTCTGGTAGCCAATGTTGATATTTGAAATCACCAAAACAAACACGCCCCTACCCCAAAAGGGTCTTGCCTCTATTCTGATGGCTCCGCCCCACACATACGTACGCAACCCAGGCAACGATTAGTTCTGTGAAACAAAGCAAAACCAATGTTACACCATGTCTACACCGGATGTGAGCCGCGAGGGAAAACTGCTGCCGGGTTCTATTTATGACGTGCTGACACAAATTTCAAATGGTTTTCAGCGGTCGTTTGAGCGCGTCCAGTGTAGGCAGACTTTAGCTGTTGTAGACACGGTGTTACTCACCTATCGAGAAGAAGCAAAGCAACCTCGGCGTCCGATCGCAGGCCTCCGCTCCTTGAGTTCTCTCCAGCGCTGGAAAGCTGATCCGATATTTACACGGGTCCTACTTCTTGCCTTATCGTTCCGCAGACGTTTTCCTCTTTTGTTTTTTATCCGCCATCTCTATCTTTCTGTCGCTCGGCTCGGCTAATATCCGTCCCATGCACTGAACGCGCTCTCCTCCACATCACGAGTAGACACACCCCTTATTGCTGATTGGCTACAAGTTTGTTTTGCTATTCGGCCCGAATCAGTTTTCTAAAGTGTTTTTGAAAAATTACATACCCTACCTTTAATGATAAGAATAACAATCATTTGTCCACCCACAAATACAGTTTATTTATCAGCTGCATTAAAATGTGGCTCATCCAATCAGATTTTTAAGCTGCAAAAGATGTTGTTTGAAAGTTGCTGAGGATCTGAGCGGTGGCATCATTTTTGTGTCGAAATCTATCAATTTCTTAAAAATAAATTCATACAGACATGTACTGGAATGCAGCTCTTCTATGATGAACTTGTTTTCAATTTCTAAATTAAAATGAATTAAATTCTTAATGAGAAGCATGTGAAGTAGTATGGCATAATATTTTAATATTTTTACTATTATTTAAAAAAAAAGAGGGGGGGGGGGTAAAGTAATAAAGTATATTTACTTTAATATATTACTAATATTACCACAAAAAAAATAATAAATTATAATAACAAACTACTTCTGTTTCATGTGGTACAATCTTTTACAGCTCCTTATTGTTTCATTATAATCCTAAAATATTCTGACTTTATGTCCTGCTCTGAAGATTCATGATATTTGTAAGAAATAATTGTTACTTTATTTGAATGTATTGAATGATAGTCACACCACTACATTTTCAGAGTTATTAAATCATGGCGTTTGATGTTTTTAAGAGCTCTGAACATGGATTTAAAAATTAATAATAATTTTAAAAATCACATTCCCAAATAAATAAAATTGCCACTGACTCATAAATGTCTGACTTAGACCAGTGTTATTTTAGTTTCATTTATATACTATTATAATATTTCTTCTAATTTTGAATTAGCTTTTATTTTTTTTATATTGTCAGTTTTGATTTTAGTTTAGGTTTCAGTAATTTATATTATATATGGCTTTATTTTTACTTCAGCTTTAGTTTTAGTACTTTTCACTTCAAACATATTTCAGTTAGTTGCCAAGGCAACATTTTTAATTTTCGTTTAGGTTTTTATATCGTATTTTTTTTTATTTTAGCTTTATTTCAATTGCCGAAAATTATTTTTAATTGTTTCAGTTTTAGTCTACAACTTGTCTAGGCTCTTTTATTACGGAGTCAATCAGATCTCACAGCACAACGGCTGTAGCGACGCACATTACACACACACACACACACACACACAACCGCTCTCCTTCTCATCTATCATGCCACCTCAAACAACCCTTTACCTCAGGATCACCCTCACACACAATTGTTCAGAACGCGTTTTGCATTATTCAGGACGGTTCTGGTGTAGGGCATTTAGCTGTGCTATCCAGAGATGGTCAGACCTCATTAGACTCCAGAGACGCAGCCGGAGTTTTAATTAACTAGACGATTAAGACAAATGAGGACCAATAGAGCACAAAAAAGCAAACATACAAGTTCAGGACAATAAATGTGTGTGTTCAAAACACAAATGAAAACACAGACAGCTGTTTCAGCAAAGCTGTTCCCTGCAGGCGGCTGCTGAATCACTGTGGGTTTGCTAATGAAATCTTAATGCATGTCTAGATTAGATAAAGCAGGTTCACTCACTTTAGAAGCCTGCCGGTGCCAGCGCTGGTAGTCGGCCAGCGTGTCAAAGTTAACGTAGTAGGTCTGGGCCTGCGGTCCGGCGGAGCTGAACATCAGACAGTGCTGCCTCCGCTTCACCTCCTCCACCTGAGCCAAGAAAGGAGGATGTCACCTGGAGACACTACAACATGCTTTGAAAAAACACTTCCATGCCATGAAACTTGGCAAAAGGTGTACCAAAAATCTGTAAATCCAGCAATTAGTAGTTCTTCTTCACTAAATATTTATTGGCTCAGGTATTATGGGGAAAAAATGCACTTAAAGGAATAAAGTAATCCACACAACTCCAGTCCATCAATGAATGTCTTGAGAATCCAAAAGCTGCATGTTTGTGAGAAACAAATCCATCATTCAGCCGTTTTAACTTCAAACTGTGAATAATCCATAATCCATAATAACGTTTCCTCCAGTGATAAAGTCCATCTACTGTTGTCCTCTCACATCAAAATCCACACATATATTTGTTTAGAGCCGTTTTCGATTGTAAACGGGGGTTAATCTGTGCAGATTTCTCTCCTGATTCAGACCAGATGACGTTTTCACTGGAGAAAGTAATATTATGGATTGTGGAATTTTTGTGTTTTTTTTAGCTGGAAGCAATGGTTTGAAGTTAAAAACATCTTGATGATGGATTTGTTTCTTAGAAACATGCAGCTTTTCACTTCACAAGATGTTAAATGATGGTCTTGAGTGGTGTGGATCACTTGTGGATTATTGTGATGCTTTTATCAGCTGTTTGGACTCTCATTCTGACGGCACCCATTCACTGCAGAGCATCCATTGGTGAGCAAGTGATGGAATGTTAATGGACACTTACTTTCATGTTAATTGCCATTATTATAGTGCTTTTTTGATGCACTTAAGTACATCTTTGCATGTAATTTCATAATTACTTTTGTTGCCTTTGAAATTTTATACACACACACGCATTATATATATATATATATATAAAATGTAAAACAATTTTTTTGTACATTTAAAATATATAAAATCTTAAGATTTGAATTCTAAGATTTGAAATATACTAAATTACATTTAAGTTACAATTAAATTACAATTAAGCACACTACTTTTTTTTAAAGGGTAACACATAACTAGTAGTTTCTCCACCACTTCGTAAAATCCTGCTTCTGACGATTTAAAAAAAATTCAAAACTTTTTAAACTGAAGAATTCATGCAAGTGCTTTAACAAAAAAACTAAACTTTTAAACCCTCTGGGCTGCTAGACGTCCACTTGAAGTGTATTACTGTAAATTGAAACTGAAAGTATTGTGTGTGGTAATCGACAGCATGCCACACATACCGTCCATAGACATTTGGTTGAAAACAACCCAGAATATTCCTTTAACACACGCTGCAGAGAAAGGTCTGATTGTCGTGCATCTCCCTCCCTTCCCTCCTCATCCTCATTCACTCACAGCTGTGTTGATGCATCTGCTCTCTGTTATCTGTTCCTGGAGCCCGGGGCGTGTGCGTGTGTGTGTGTGTGTGTGTGTTTGTGTGTGTGGGTGTCTGTGGACCCCTACCTTCCCCCCGACCAGGGGTAAGATGTGCATCTTGCCGGTCAGGCTGTCCTTGACAGAGGCCACAATGAGACTCGTCCCGCACAGGATGACCTGCCGCTCGGCCCATTTATGGAGCTGCGTCTTTCCCTTCCTGACGCTGAACACGCCTTTCAGAAGAGTCCGCTCCTGCTGGTCTGCGTTCACCGGTTTCTCTGTGCAAACACACACACACACACACACACACACAACAGTCAACCAACTGCCATGTATATATGTTAGAGTACACATACAATTTATCAAACTAAACAGATACATATTTCCCACGCAAAAGTCAGTCCCACAATGCAAAGGTGTTCTCTCAGCGTGTTTCTGTTTGTAACTTGGTTGAATGATGTAAAGGTCAATGGGTCAAAAGTGTTCTTTATGAAGAAAAAAAGTTTAAAACACATGTGCCAAGTTCTTAGCAATATACTCTTTGTATTCGTGTTGGATTTTGTATTGTTTTTTTTGTGGAAGTTTTCACGAAAAGTTTCAATTTAATTACTCTAAAATTGTCGTGTGGTGCAAGCCGTCACATCAAGTGTAAGAAAGTTTTCAAATTGTTTTTAAAGGGGTCATATGATGCTGCTAAAAATAACATTATTTTCCACATACTGTACATTATTGTTTCTCCTCTATGCCCCGCCTTTACGCGTACATTTTTACAAAGCTCATCGGTCTGAAAAGCGAGGTGTGCTGTGATTGGCCAGCTATCCAGTTCATTGTGATTGGCCGAATACCTCAAGCGTGTGATGGAAATGTTACGCCCTTGCCATACTGTGATGCCGGAGCGATGAGACAAAAACATTAAAACCCATTATAAACGAGGCATTTGTTGCATCCAGTGGGGACATAATTACTGATTATAATGACTTATACAGTCTTTTTATGTGTTGTGTTGCATCGCGCCGCGTAAACATAAAACCATGTCTGCATTTGTGATCTGAGAAATGACAAACAAGTGCTACTCTACACTGACTGTACCAAATGTACTGCTAATTGATAATGTTAGTTAATGCAATAACTAATGTTATCTAATGTGTCCTTATTGTAAGTGTTACCAAAATACTTTGAAAATTATTAAAAGTATTATTAATTTGGTCAATTATTAACGTTATATTTGATGACTTAAACTAACCCTTAACTAATCTACAGTAAAAAGGTCAAATGTATAATATTTTAAGAGATTTTTTTCCCATGTTGGTTGCACCACATTGATTCTCCTGACAAACGTTTTTCAAATATTAATATGCACCAAAACAATTTATCAAATATTTTTCTTCTAAAAATTATTATACCAATCTAAGTTTTCTAAGTATTCTGGTCTTTTAATTTTTTCATCTTTTTTCTTCATTATGATATCGGGACAGATGCATCACACTGATATTTTTGACTTTATGCCTCCCGAAAAATATTAAAATGAATTTCAATTCAAATCATGCAAAACATACTCAATCTAGAAGAGGAGTATTGAAGTGACTGTATATTGCATTTTCTTTATTTAATAAATTAATATTTACAAATAAAAAGTGCATTGTCATTGATTTTTTTTTATATAAAGGAAAGTAGAAATAAATAATCTTTCATTTAGTGGAAAATGGAGTAGATGGCATATTTTAACATTTTAAATGATACATTTTATATATAAATTTTTATATTATATATATTTTTGTAAAATATTTATTAAGAGACCCGGTGTGTGACTTCACATCATGTTGCTGATATATAATACAGGCAAAGTGGTTATGATTAACTAAAGCTAAAACTAATATCATTTACAGTAACTGAAATAAAGATGAAATGAAATAAAACAGAAATTAGATAAAATCTTAAACTCAAACAAAAATTTGAAATGTGGTTTAGGCAACTAACTGAAATAAGGTGAAGTAATACAATTATTTCAAAATAAAACTGAAATGTAAATAAAAGCTAATTCAAAATATTAATAATATAATGCAATAGTATATAAATTATAATAAAATAGCATACACTGGTGGCAGGGTCTGGAGTAATTTACATGCTAGTGTATAGAGTGGACAGAGATTCCTATGGAGCAACTGTCTGTGCATCTCACACACACACACACACACACACACACACACACACACACATACACACACACACACACACACGCACGCACGCAGATTGATGTGCTAATGAAGTCCATATGTAGTGTGAAGTGTGAGCTCATGGTGGGACGGGGAAAACAGGTGAATAGGGTTGCCAGTAAATCATGTCACATGTATTGGTCAGCTCATAGTGATCCACACACACACACACACACACACACACACCCTCCATGAGCAGCAGCAAGCACGGAGTAGAAACAGAAAGTAATGTCATACTACATCAAATGCGGCTCAATCATTAACCAATATAGCTAGTAATTGTAGATCATCTCAATGGCATGAGAATCTTTCATTTACAATAGTTGCAACAGTTAATTGTTGTTAACTAACCATATTATATCTTAAATTGAGTGGAAACGTGACCAACTTTGGATTTAATGGTGAAGTCTGCAATATTCTGGATTTTTAAATATTCCAGCCTAATATGCAGAGAGCAGCTGTAAGTAAAGCATGCGCAGGTTGCCCTTCTGAAGAGCGTAAGCGCTGTGACACTGTGCAGCTTTCGAAACATTCTGTTTGTTTGAGTTTTCCGACAAGTCAATTCTGACTCGAGCGCTGGCGTGAGTTTGGGTGGGAACGCCTGTAATAAACCACTTAGAGGAGGAACTGGATGTGTTTAATGCATTGCGTACTTCCTAATGCCTTTTGTGAACAGTGTGTGACATATACTACATGCTTTAACGTTTCAAAGAATAATATTGGTCACATGACCTCGTTACGTTGCATGTTATTAGTAATAATCTGAGAAATACATTTCCAGTCCATTTATCGTATAAAAAATCATAACTTTTGGAAGTTCTATATATGGTGAATCTGCTGCACATATTTTTTATTTGTTTCAATGTTACACTAGGCTATTTTGGTCATATTTATGAGCAGCAGCAAGCACGGAGTAGAAACAGAAAGTAATGTCATACTACATCAAATGCGGCTCAATCATTAACCAATATAGCTAGTAATTGTAGATCATCTCAATGGCATGAGAATCTTTCATTTACAATAGTTGCAACAGTTAATTGTTGTTAACTAACCATATTATATCTTAAATTGAGTGGAAACGTGACCAACTTTGGATTTAATGGTGAAGTCTGCAATATTCTGGATTTTAAAATATTCCAGCCTAATATGCAGAGAGCAGCTGTAAGTAAAGCATGCGCAGGTTGACCTCCTGAAGAGCGTAAGCGCTGTGACACTGTGCAGCTTTCGAAACATTCTGTTTGTTTGAGTTTTCCGACAAGTCAATTCTGACTCGAGCGCTGGCGTGAGTTTGGGTGGGAACGCCTGTAATAAACCACTTAGAGGAGGAACTGGATGTGTTTAATGCATTGCGTACTTCCTAATGCCTTTTGTGAACAGTGTGTGACATATACTACATGCTTTAACGTTTCAAAGAATAATATTGGTCACATGACCTCGTTACGTTGCATGTTATTAGTAATAATCTGAGAAATACATTTCCAGTCCATTTATCGTATAAAAAATCATAACTTTTGGAAGTTCTATATATGGTGAATCTGCTGCACATATTTTTTATTTGTTTCAATGTTACACTAGGCTATTTTGGTCATATTTTTGGTAATTTTATCATTATTTATATTTTATTAAAATAGCATTATAAAAACGTTAAATTATTACAAAAATTGTAAACAAGTAGCTTTATCGACATATCAAACAATAAGACAATAATGATACTGATTCAGTAAAATCATTTACTGTAATGAAGGACTCTTCAGATTAATTTATTTTAGCATTATTTATACACTATTATAGTAATTATTCGTATTTTGAATAAGATTTTAATTTTTTATATTTTAAGTTTCAATTTTAATTCCATGCATTTGTAATTTATTTTTTTAAATATATTTTCCTATATAGCTTTATTTTATTAATTTTTTTAATTACTTAAAAAAAAAGTATTACTTTTTTTTTCTAATTTTATCCCTTCAACTTATTTTAGTTAGTTGCAAAAGCACCATCTCTAATGTTCATTTAAGTTATTTAAGATGACTTTTTCATCAAATTTATTTCAGCTTTTTTTCAATGACCAAAACAATTCGATTTTTTAAATGGTTTTAATTTTAGTTTCCAATAACAACAGTCAGTCAAATAATCATTTGTTTTGAGAGCTGGTTCTTTGCTTGCGAATCAGACTACATTAGTCGTATTGCATGTTTGTTTTTGTCTGCAGCCTGCAATGATACTCATTAAAGACTTGTTGTCTTTGCAATATTTTAGAGAAAGAAAACAGCTCAATACGGTAAAAACCCACATGAATGAACGGTTAAACTGCATAGAAATGCCGCACACCTCAGAGGATTGTGCTGTGGATGCAGCAGTTAACCTGATGAACGAGTCAGGATTTTTGTCACATTAAACTTGCTTTGCTCCATCTCATTACATAGCATGCGGCTCCTCTCCGGCATCTCTGAAGGACACATCAAACACGAGGACCAGCTCAGCCAGGGGACACACACTTTCAGGTTAATTACTGGTTAGACCAGCACAAAGAGCATCCTTCTATAACCTATAACTCTATGAGCAGCAGTGTGAGCCAGGATGTGCTAATACAGAGAGTCTGACAGCTCTTTGTTGAGGCTCTTCTGAGACAGAGGCCAGCGGATCAGATTCCGTGAGGAGAGTCTGTCTGGAAAGCTGCTGAGGAACACTCTGAGTGAGGCAGGATTGGTAGTTTGATCACTGGACGTCCCGAGGACCATGGAGGGGATTTCTCCAAAAAAGTGAAAGCACTGTGAGATGAAGGTATATCAGTCAAAACGTCAATCAACAGCATTTTCAAAATACAAATATCAACAAATACCAAGGAAGTAATTTTATTTCACTATTTACAGGGTATCTGCAGAATTTTTTTAAACCAATTTAAGGCTTTTTATGACATGCACAAATAAAATGAATACCGTATGAGCGGGGTATAGGGCAATGTCTATGGTAACATATTAAACCGTAAAATGACATGATTTACAGTTCAGATACAGGTTTTCACAGCACAAAAGTCTTATAAAACGATAAACATCACATTTCAGCAT